ACAGTCTCTCTATAGACGGGCTGTGATTGTATGTATTTGCGTTTTATAAAACCCGTGTTGGATCACTGTTGTCGCCACCCAAAGCAAAAAACGCACTAAATGATGTTTTTAAATTCGTTTTAAACACCTCACCGAATATGTTTGAATATATACATGTCTTGGTAAATAAATGATTTGGATTACCATATTACTATTTATGTTTATTTGAGTTGACGATTTCTACCATCGCACGGGGACTGGATATATTAATAACAGCGCCCTCTACGGACAGAAATGTTTTACAACAACGTTAATAAACATACCCACATTAATCCCTACCAAGACAATATTAACACTTCGTATTCTGAAAATAAACATTAGATTTTTGCAGGAGGGGAAATACATTAGTAAAATGTATAAAAATGGATTTCATATTTAAGATGTTTTCCCTTCAATAAAGTCAGACTTAATGTATGAATGTTAATTTCATGCATTCCCTCTCCCTCTTTTTTTATCTATTTAATTGTAATTTCACAAATACATTGTAATGAGCTTCAATTTTATTCTTTTGAAAAAAAAGATGTCTATCATTGGGTGAAACTTGTAATATAAAAATGATTTGTTTTGTTGGCATCCAAGTTAATAGTTATTGAATAATACACACACTCAAAGTTGACAATATTATGAACATAATTTTGATGTAAATGCCAACAACTGGGTGTAAGATCAGTTAATCTGTGGTGGGCTGTGTGTCACACGCAACGTAATATTACCGTAATTGGTATAGTACAGGTGTGATGGTTCAAATACCAAAATGGCAACAGTAACAAAAAGACTTCCCTGGCGGCGATGATAAAATACGAACACGGAGCCAACAGATGAGGTTTCAACTGGTACTGGTATTATTATACTCTGCAAACATCAAGTACAATAACACGGTAAAACTCCACTACTCCAATAACTAGATACTTAAACTCCAATACAATTCAACGAGGTCTCCGATCTGATCTCAGTCCTGAACAACTCCTCTATATATACCCATACTGTCTATAAATAGACCATTACATCAGCATACATAATGAGTCTGGAATTTACTACAAATTTCTAGAATGTTCCATTACCTTCTATTGCCTTCTACAGTGTCCTATTACCTATTCAACCAGCTTCTAAAAATTCCACCCAGACACAGTACGGTTCTAGAACATTCTCAGTCACACGGAAGTGGTAAACAAGTCGTATGCGACATGCCTCCCCTCTCAAGAATATTATAACATAATATTACATGACTAGCAACGACGTCAATGATACGAATACGATAACAAACAACAATACAATATATCAAATCGAACTGAATAAAGCTCTGAGTACAAAAATTCGAAAATCACATACAGTAGAATATAATAAAATATGAAATACAGTCATAAACGAATAACATTCTACTATACTGTTCAAAAGTTCCTCAGTCCATCAATCTACTCAGGTAGTCCGTTACCACATTGTCCCGTCCAGGAATATCCTCAACACGATAATTATATCCTTGCAGAGTCATCGCCCATCTCATCACTCGGTCATTTGCAAACTTGGCTTTATCCAGGTAAGACAATGGTTTATGATCCATCTGCAAAATGAACTCCACACCGGCTAAATATAGGCGAAATTTATTCACGCCCCATACAATGGCTAAACATTCCCTTTCTACCGTTGAATATTTCTTTTCTGCATCGGATAACTTCTTACTTGCATACGCAACTGGATGAAGCTTCTCACCATGATTCTGCATAAGTACTGCTCCAATTCTTACCTGAGACGCGTCCGTCCGCAACACAAATGGTTTCTGTGGGTCTGGCAACTTCAAGTATTCCCGCAAAGTGTTATATGCTTTCTCCTGGGCCTCTCCCCATACAACTTTGTTGGGTTGTCCGTTCCTTAGTAGATCACTCAGGGTGCTGCAATAGTTGCGAATAAGGGGATGTGGTCTCTGTAGTAATTGACCAGCCAAAGAATGATCGGACACTTTTCTTGGTCGCTGGTCTTTGTGCTTCTCAAATTTTTTCCATGTTGTCGTGA